GTCTTCCGAGGACTCAGCGGGGTAGTGATGTTATTTGGGTGGTTATAGATCGGTTGACTAAGTCAGCGCACTTTATTCCTATGCGCATGAGAGATTCGGTAGATCATCTTGCCGACTTGTATATTCAGGACATAGTGAGGTTGCACGAAGTTCCAGTGTCGATCGTCTCTGATAGAGATCCTCGTTTCACTGCTAGGTTGTGGCAGAGTTTGCAGAGTGCCTTGGGCACTAAACTGACCTTTAGTACAGCTTACCATCCTCATACTGACGGACAGTCCGAGTGTACTATTCAGATCCTTGAGGATATGCTTCGGGGTTGTGTCCTTGACTTTAGTGGGACGTGGGAGAGGCACTTGCCCTTGGGTGGATTTGCTACAACAAAGCTTTCAGTCTAGTATCGTATGGCGCCGTTTGAGCTTGTATGGCGACGTGTAGGTCTCCGGTTTGTGGGCCAAGGAGGTGATGAACCTTTGTTGGGCCCGGAGTTGGTGAGGGAAACGACGGAGAAAGTTGAGCTTATCTGTAAGAGGCTTGTTACAGCCCAGAGTCGCCAAAAGAGTTATGCCGACCGTAGGAGGAGGCCTTTGGCATTTGAGATGGGTGATCATGTTTTCTTGAAAATATCACCTAGGCGGGGTGTGATGGGGTTTGGGAAGAGTGGGAAGTTGTCCCCTCGATTTATCGGTCCCTTTGAAATCCTTGAGAGGATTGGGGAGGTTGCTTACCGTTTAGCTTTGCCGCCGCAATTGTCCGGAGTGCATAACGTATTTCGTGTTAGTATGCTTCGGAAGTACGAGCCGGATCCATCGCACGTGTTGGATTGGACCGACTTAGAGGTAGATGAGGATGCCTCGTATGAGGAGAGACAGGTACGGGTCTTGGATAGGCGGGATCAAGTCTTGCGAGGCAAGACCATTCCCTTGGTAAAGGTTTTGTGGAAACATCACGTAGTGGAGGAAGCCACTTGGGAACGTGAGGCGGGTGTCCGTGAGAAATATCCGGACTTGTTTGTAAATGTTTAACCATGTATTGGGATTTTGTAATATTAATGAACTTTAAGAGCATTAAATATGTCTTAAGTTGTAAAACATTGTGAATGTTTTGGTTTATGGGAATATTGTGGAACTTACCTTGTAATGGAAGTTTATTTTAACATTGCATATGTTAACTCTGTTGTGGAAATGCAAATATAATTTTGGCATTGAATTTGTTTTGTAATGCATGTTGATAATGCATGTTGGAGATTATGTTCAAAGTTTGCCTCTTGAATAAAGATGGAACGACTGATAATGGGTCAAGTTGTTGAATTTTACATTGTAATAATGTTGGTAATTGGGAAAACATGCTTTTGAAAAACTTGTACTTAATTTCGAGGATGAAATTCTTTAAGCGGGGGAGGTTATAGCGATCCCGGTTTCTCTTCCTTTGCTTGTTGTATTCCGGACTTAGGTTCCGTGGAGTTGGTGGTTGTATATCTTGTTGTTATCCTTTAATTCCGTGTGTTTGAGTTTTAGGATGTATTGGGCGTGTTTCGAACAGGTTGGTTGAGCTTTAGTCCCATTCCTTGTTGCCCAGATTTTTGGTGGTACGCTCGAGCGGGTCCCTTTGCGCTCAAGCGGATTTTGATTTTTGGTTGTCCGCTCGAGCGGGCCTTATTACGCTTGAGTGAGGTTTTCACACTCTCAGCATTTCGTGCCTCTGCAAAACTTCTGCAGGTGTGTTTTTCACGCTCGAACGGATTTCCTTACGCTCGAGCGGGTAGCGCTCGAGCGGGTGTCTTGGCGCTCGAGCGGGTAGTTCATTGTCTGTAAAAGTTCTGGAAGGGGGAAATCTACGCTCGAGTGGCCTTTCCTTTGCGCTCGAGCGGGTGTGTTTTGCAGTTGTGTCTTGGCGCTCGAGCGGGAATCTTTACGCTCGAGCGAATCCAGTTTTTGTGTCTGACGCTCGAGCGTCCTATTCTCCGCTCGAGCGAGTCATACGTATATCAGATATCAGCTAGGTCTTTTTAGATCACTTTTCAACTTCCTCTCTCTCTCTTACTTTTTCGAAAAGCCATTTTTGAGAGCTTCTCTCACTACTTTCTTCCTTCTCTCTTAGGATTGATCTAGTAGGAGTGACTTTCTACCCTTGGGCCTTTGTAAAAAGTGTGTTGATCGTTGAGGGCTACATTTTGATCAGAAAATCTTGAGATTTGGAGCATTTTCAAGTTCTTCATCATTTCTTTTGGGTTTCATCTCTTGAGGTAGGGATTCCTACTCATCTTTATGATCTTTAACCTAAATATAGAGCTTTTGTATAAATGGTTTGGTTTGGGAAGTTAGGATTTGTATTGTATTATATTGAAAAAGAGGGGTTTTGTCTTTTTGACTCATATATATATATATATATGGGGTCTTAAAAAGAGATTATTGATGTTGTTGGTAATATTTGGACCTTTGGGTCAATATTGAGTTTAAAGGAAAAAATGCCATATTTGGGTCATTAGCGTAATTAATAACATTTGTTACGAAATTGAGTTAGGAATAATGAAATTTGATCATTAAAAGATGGAATGGTGGAGTTGGATTTATAAATCGCTCACTTTTGAAAATGTCAATTATATATCTGTTGAGGCATTTATTATCTGTTTAGAAATAACTGCTTTGGGCTATCGGTGGAGGATAGTCTTGATTGTTGTAGACATTGCATGATGATTAGGTGAATTGAAACTAATCAAGTTGTGTATTTGAATACATGGGTGCCGAATCCCGCGGATGAAATTTCCGTAAAATGGTCATTTGAATGTAATTATACATGAGTGCCGAATCCCGCGGACGCAATTTCCGTAAAATGGCAATCCGAATATATCTATACATGGGTGCCGAGTCCCGCGGATGAAATATCCGTAAAATGGCCATAAGAGAATGAAAATACATGGGTGCCGAATCCCGTAGACGCAATTTCCATAAAATAGCAAGTTGTAGTATTGTTGGCATGAGATGTAGCCTCATTTCAGTTATTTGGCCAGGTTCTGAGCCATGTTTATAAGTTGAGTTTTGTTAAGTTGAACATTCATCAAGTGCTAATGTTTTAGTTATTGCTCATATTATGTTTAGCATATCTCTACTGGGCATTGGCTCACCCTATATGGGACATCATTTTCAAGTACAGGTAACATGACATCTCCAAGGACGTAGCTTGAGAGGCTTAGTGGCTGGGACATCTTTTGTGATTACATTTTTGTATTACATGTATATCAAACCAAGGGCTTCTTTTGTGTAGAGTTAGTACTCTCCTTTTTGTAACCAAGTGTTGACTTGGAAAGTTGTAAGCCTATAGGGCATTTACTTTTGTTGTCAACATGTAATACATTTTGTAAGAATACTCTGATGGTTATAATGTGAGAACTCTTTTACTTATCGTGAATGTATGCTATGGTGGGTTTATTTTTGAGGGCGTTACAGTTTCTTAGGCACTTTAATCAATGCCTTAGCATTTACGATGTCTTTATTTTTATTTATTTATTTATTTTTGTAATGCTCACAACTCGTTTGTGATTCCCATGATACTTTTCATCAAGTGCACATTCAGGACTGACCCTGGCCTAAGGCCAGTGAGACTTGTGCTTTAAGCTCTAAAAATTTGACTCACAATAGGACCCCCAAATTTAGTAAAGTGTTATAGGCTCAAATTATTTTTGTTGTTTTAGAGCCAATTTAAAGGGCCCCAATATATTCTGCTGGACCTATATTTATTTATAAGTGTGGTTTGATCCAATTAAAATTACAAATATATAAAAAGTGTTGGTGGCCCAGGGAGAAGGAATCCACCCAAAAGAAAAGACCTAGGGAGAGAACAATACATACATGCACTGAGTTGTTGTAGGTAGCCCAGGGAGAACGAATCCACCCAAAAAAAAAAAGGCCCAAGGAGAACAATACATACATACAGAGTTGTTGTCAATCAATGACTCTCTCTCTCTCTCTATCTTTCTCACGAAGTAACAAACACATATCACTGTACTGATTTTTTCATATCTTAATATCACTACAACAAAACTAACTATTTATGGCATCATGTTTATGGCATGCATTAAATGCATGTTGTAGTTAGTACAATCTACGATTTTTTTTTTTTGCAAACCGTTAATATTTTGTTAATAACAGCATACATATCATGTAAGTCATTAATTCATATATTTATGACATGCAAAAGTATGCCATAAAAAATGTATGTTTTTATGTCTTACAAAAATATGTTGTAAAATATTTGTATTTAAGACGACATACATTTTATGTTGTAAAATATTATAACTTTACACAACATGCTAATGAATGTCATGAAAACTTGTACATAAAAAGAAAAAAAAATGCAATATGATTTTTTTATGGCATGCAAAAGTATGCTGTAAAAAATGTATATTTTCACGGCATACAAAAATATGTTATAAAATATTTACACTTAAAACAACATACATTTCATGTCGTAAAATATTAAATTATATATTTTTTGGAATTTAGTAATTTTTTTAGAAAATTAAAAAATATTTTTCCTTGTAAGTATATGTAAATTATTTGAATTTTAAAAGTAAAAAAAAAAAATTATTTAAAACTTACGCCACACTTCCGCTTATTCTAGATCCATACCTGTTTTTGTCCCAAACCATCTCATTCTCTAGAGAAATTATATTTTAATTATAAATAATAAAAAAAAATTCTAGACGTTCTTAAATATTTATAAATTTCTAGTAGATATGACAATTTTTTATTTTTTTTCCAATAAACTAGATATTCTAGTTATAATCTAGATTTTTTTAATACAAAAATAATTTATAAACTTATACTTAAATCTTTTTTTTTCTAAAATTTTCTACTCCAATTTTTTATTTATTTATTAATATTGTTAAAATTATATATTCTTTACCTCCTAGATTTTTATTTATTTATTAATCTTGTCATTTTTTTAATAGATTTATTGCAATCTGTTAGCTCACACATTTTTTTTTGTATATACATCTCTCTCTCTCTCTCTCTCCCCCTCTCTCTTTCTTTCTTCTCCTTCTCTCTCCTTTCTCTTTATCGACATCTCACACAAACACACAAGCACCACCAGCAACCACCACCAGCCACTGCCCCTCCGAAGATGTTAGTTACACGAGCACCAATCGATTGATTCTGAGCTTAATTATAATTCTAAGCTTGGAGTTCGATTCTGATCCTAAGCCCCTTCCACGGATTTGGTTTTCTTTGTGAGTTTCTAACTTATTCAGTTTCCATTTGATTAATTCGGTATATATTGTTGGTTGCATATCTATTTTTTCTGGTTTCTATTCAATTAATTCGGTGAGAGCCTTGAATTGCATCCCTTATTCGATTAATTCAGTTTCTCCTCTCTCCTCTCTCTTTGATTTTGATTTGACTTTGATTTGATTTCTAGAGTTTTGATTTTGATTATGATTTCTATTCAATTAAGCTAAATTTTTCTCCCTTGCAGTTTTATTTCAACTTTATGATCTCAAGTAGCAAGGATTCATAGAGAGACAGGAGCTTATGAGATATTTTGAATTGTGTTGTGTTTATAGCTCTTCAATGAAAATTTCTATTGATTTGGTTATGTAACATGTTTTGATGGTTTGAATGTCTCTGTTCTTACAGAAATTGTTTCCAACTGCTAGTTGAATTTTGCTTTGTTCAGAATTTTGATGGAGATATTAGTTGCTTAGTTAGTATTATTAAATTTAACTTGCAAGAAAGATATACTTGAAGTAGGAACATAGATTAGAAGAACAGATGAAACCTAAATGATGATTATGCTTAGTTAGTATTATTTTGATGGCATGCATTGAAAAACAGATGAAACCTAAATAATGATTCTTGCATACCTCTGACTGCAGCACCATCCATGAACTCATACTTTGCAAGTGTCTCGGTCTCAACATCAGTGTTGGCCCCTGATCCTGTTGATTCTTTGCGTCTGATCTCAAGGTCCATATTTTTAATCTTTATTCTTACAAGAAGAAAATATATCTTGCCCACAATAACGTCTTTCAGATGATACCTGAGTAATGAACACCAAAGTCAGCCAAGGCAATGGCATACATCCCTGCTTTTTACTGAAATTAAAGTGACAAATTACAACTAAACTGTGCCAGACACCAGGGCAGTTGATTTGGTTAGGTTAGATTGTGAATCCAGAATCTAGATAGAGAAGTTGTCCAATCGAAAGCCTAATACATATGGCTTAATATCAGCTTTAAGTTATAAGAAGCTTTGATTGATTGAAGAAGTGGGACCTGAGTTTAGTGTCCTGCACAACCCAGTTGAACTGAACAACCATGAGCTGCCTTTTCTTTTTCTTTTTCTTTTTTTCATTTTTATCAAGATTCAGTTTATTGGATTGACAAAGTTTAATTATTACTAGGTGTCTGAACAAGAGCATAGTAAGCCACAAATAATAAATTACTAATCAAAAGCACAAATTTGTCATTCTTGCTTACTTGCTTTTATTGTACTCAAATTCTATATGAAGGTAATTTTCAATACCAACTTCCATCTACAAGGTTAAACGGTTAGAGATTGAGAAAATCCTATTGGGATTTGGCGATTGTGTTATGCTTCAATATACTAAAAATATATAGAATTGGAAATTAGTGTTTCTAACTTTGTTTAAGCTTCCCCAATCTAATACATAATTTCTCATGAATATGAAGCGTGGCATAATGCAGATAACATAATGTTCTCTCTCTTTTTCTTTTTCTTTTTTCTTTTTTCTTTTTTCCTTTCCTTTCTTTTTCTCCCTATAATTGCATAGGCCAACACTAGAAGCACCTTGATCCCAGCCATAGACTCTAGTCTACCCTTCGGAATGGCCACTGGTCAACAAAGATCAGTTAGTGCAAATGTAAAAGACATTGCAGTACCACATTGACCTTAATACTATTGTCAATATCGGGAGGTGGGCTGTTTGTGAACTTGATGCATAAAAATTGAAATAAATAGATTGAAACAATAAATTGCTAATTGATAAATCTCATGAACAACACAATAACAGTATAGTTGCAAACTGGAAGAAAAGACGCAACTGAAAGAAGCTGAGTGAGCAACAAGACCCTAATTATCCAAACAAATTAATAGGAAACAATTATCATAAACTAGATGAAATACAAATTTTGAACTGATCAGCGCATGACTTGTGCACAGGCCAATGCATCCAACGAGAGACATAAATGATGAATAACACAACCTGCTAAAGGCACAGTAGTTGATGCATGTAACATAGGAAGCACTTTAGCATAGGTAAGATTAAATTAGTAAGTAGAATTAATTATTATTTATGCCTCTAAGAGAAGGAAAGAGAGATTATACTATAGTAAGGGATCACAAGTTACAAAAAACTCAACTCCACTAGGCTTTAATATCAACTCATCGAGGTCAACAAGATAATACCTTCCTTTTCATTCAGTTACTTTGAATAACCCATTTCAAAATTGTAACTAAAAGAGAGAGCGGTCTGTTTAACATCAATTCATATTAAAGATAGAGATGGTGGCGGCAGAATGATAAAGTCTTACATGAGCGCAGTACATAGCCCATTATAAAGCTCAGAGAAGTACGAGAAAAAGCCTGCACTATAAATAAACAGTAGCTAAAGCTATAGACCTAGGAAGACTTGGAAGGGTGACAGATTAACTCAGAAGTCCAAACTCTCAAATTCCAAAAACATAATAATAAAAAAAATAAATAAATAAATAAAAACAAGGAATTAACATTTAGATGTTAAAAATACCATCACTTGAATGAGGGATTCCAAAGTAAGGACCTAAAAAAGTTTCACAAGGCGTGGCGTGACCTCCTTGAGATCAGCAGCAGAGTGCAAAGATAAGTACTGGTTAGAAAAACGTTCCACAAAAATTATCTCCTTGCCACAATACTCTTTTTGTCAAAGACTGAGACCACAACTTGAAAAGAAGAGAGATTCTAAGTGTACGAGCAAGAAATAATCTTCTCGTATAATCCTGTTGATCAAGTCCGCGTTACTCCAAACGTCGTCGCTTTACTCCCTGAAAACACAAATGTGAGCTAGCCGGCGGGTGTGTGCCAGATACCTCTTCGATGCCTAAGTCAGCAAAATAGACAAATAGACAAAAGCTCTGTGTATTCGAGAATCAAAGTTGTGTTACCTCTCCATAGGTGATGGTATGAGCTTTTATAGGTTCCGTGTGGCACAATCCTAGTAGGACTCTTACTCCTCCATGTAGAGTCCTCCTAGGAATCACATTCCTGAAAGATAATGCTTATCCTTTAACACCCCCCTCACTGTTTAAACCAAGTGAGATGGTTTTACCATGGTTGGATGTCAATACGACCGAGATAACATGGCCATGCTAAAGCTGCAGACTAGACCAAGCTCCAACTAGCTTGGTTCTTCCTTTCACTGCGCGTGTACCTCGGTTGACATATTCCAACTGGGTTGTCTGAAACCGAACTGATCACATTGAGCTTGGACCGAGCTAGCCAATAGCAAGGTTCTGAGGAAAGCTTAACATAGTTCGACCCAACATAGTATGACCGAGCTAACTATTACCGCACCAACCGTGGTGACCGAGCTAACCACCAAGCTCCTTTGGACCGGACTAATTACAAGGCCCTTTTACTCAGCCCTTCTTACCGTGGCCCACAGAATGGCCCATTTACCCAGCTCGGCCCAATTTATATATAAATTACCCTCTCAATTGCCCCTTAATTCCATCTGCGCAGCATAAGCTTAACATAGTTCGACCCAACATAGTATGACCGAGCTAACTGTTACCGCGCCAACCGTGGTGACCGAGCTAACCACCAAGCTCCTTTGGACCGGATTACCTGCAAGGCTCTTCTGGACCGGACTAATTACAAGGCCCTTTTACTCAGCCCTTCTTACCGTGGCCCACAGAATGGCCCATTTACCCAGCTCGGCCCAATTTATATATAAATTACCCTCTCAATTGCCCCTTAATTCCATCTGCGCAGCATGATAGGAATTACCTGTAACCAGCCGAGCTAAAAAACTTTAGCCTTCCAACCGAGCTAAATTTACATCGTGCTACCAATTTGTCCGGTCAAAAATGTCTCTTCAGTCGTACTAAAACTGAATCGCTTTCCATTCCACGGACACGTGGCATACTATCATTAGCCCAATGCAGCTGTCACGCCGTCTTCGTATTTCGCGTAATTTGAACAGTCCCACCCAATTTCCCCTTCTTTGCACAAAAAACCACTCATTTTGAATCTAACACGTTCTGCTATTCATCTTCTCTCTTTCTTGCAGGAATCTCCGTTGCTGCCACTTTTGCCCCTGCGAAGCTTGTATCTTCAACATCACTTTTGTGGTTTCAGACCTACATCCTTCTTTCTCCAATCTGTAAGTAATTCCTCAATCCTTTTTTGCTTTCCGTTTGACTGGTTATATGTATTATTTGTATATACGTGTTTTCTCACAACACTTCTCAAAGTAGTTTTCTCTGTAACAAGTAAGAACAACTTGAATAGTACCCATCGCTACTGTTTTTGAAAAAACTGAACTGGGACGTCTTAGATCCGAAATCATACTCCAACCGGACTAGGAAGTAGTTTGTATTAAGCGCAAACCTAGCCACACCTAATAACCGAACTAAAACTTCACGCCATACTTTTAGCTTCCATAAGTTAGGGACCCTATGCTTCTTTTAACCGAGCTATCGAACCGTACTAGGTTTGCATAATACTAAGCTAGAAAGCCTCAACCACAGACCGAGCTAAATCTTGGGGCTAAACCCGCTCCCTTAGTTCAAATCGAACTAAGAATGCTGCCTCGATGGCTCAACCGGGCTGAAGCCCCTTGCTTAAACCGAGCTAAGACTGGATAGCATTCCATGTAACCGAGCTAGGACTTCATTTATCTTGCCTATATTACTTGTAGCACGGTCCCACGATCTGTGCTTAACACCTTTCTTTTTCACTTTGTAGACTCTGACTAGGTTGCCCAGGCACTCCTTTGCACGTCCAACTAAGATACCCTTTATCTGCTTGGCGCCGAGCTAATACTGCAGGCTAATTTATACATAATTTAAATCCTTATGGGTAAATATAGGTTTTTAGTGAACTCACCAGGTGCTATGGCCGAGTTCCGAAGGGACTACCATATCCCTAATGATGTTCATCTCACTCTAGCCGAACTAGATACCGTACCTTGGGGAAACCCTGGCTTTGTTCCCTTTACACTTCTTTCCATTATAGAAACCGGACTAAGATTCCCTGTGCAGCCCCTCCTTTGCGAGTTCCTTAGACAAACCAACCTCTGCCCAACCCAACTTTCCACAAATTCATACCGAATAATAAATGGCATCGCCGAGCTAAACCGCCGGGCTGGCCTTAACCTCGGTTTAGCCGAGCTCTTTCACCAATACTCCATAGGATCAAATGAAGATGGGTGGGTTTACTATTTAAGAATAAGGCGCCGACGTGAAAAGATAATAAAAGATACCCCGGATAAGGATGTTAACGACGATGATTTTTTCTGGGTTTCTGCGAATTGTGAGGACCAACAAGCCCAGATCCCAGACGACAAAATAAACTGGAACAAGGGTGAAGCCGGTAGGATTACCTTGGCTCAATTCCACGCTTTCTTTTACCTCAGTTTTCTTATGTCGAACTGCACTGACTGTTTTGCTTTTCTTCATGCAGATTTGAACTTTTTTAAGTCCCAGTACAACTACCCCAACTTAAACACACTTCGTGCCGCGCTGCGATATCCCAATAGAGGTTGGGCCGAACTACTGGATTTTGAACCAACGTACCGACACAGTAGTAAGCGAAAGACCAGGGTGACTGACTTTTTGTTGGAAGCCTCTCCTGAACCGAACCCAACCTTGCCCCAAATCAATTTGATCCCTCTAACCGCTGAGCAAGAGATGGCCAAGAAATGAGCTGTAAGGGCACTCCTGACTGAAACAAACTAGCCCGAGGTACCACCAGCCGGTCAGACTCAGGAGACCGTGGTGGCCCTTGTATCCCATCAACCCTTATCATCTCGTCCAAGTAAGCATGCTCGGACTTCCATAACCGAGCCACGCCTTGTCGACGAGGATGAAACCGTGGTGCCTCGAACCACTTCACCAAGCCCCCCACCTGAGCGCTGAGACCGAGCTAGCTCCTCAAAGTGGGTACCAAAGATCACATTTCAGAACCGCGTTATCATGGATTCTGACTCAGTGGTCGTAGAAAAAGACCACTTGATGGCCTTCAACCTTGCTAAAAGTGTTTGCCTTCCAGCCGACATGAGGCACCACGACCACCTAACCGAGCTGAAGGCCCTTTGCTCATCCACAAAATCAATGGTGCTGGTAAGTTGCTCCTTCACTTATTTTTCAGAAATTCTTACGACTTTTGGCTCGGTGTTACTGAAAATTGTCTTACCATCCTTTTGCAGGCCATACAGAAAAACCACATCGCTCACAAGCAAGTGTTGCAACTTCGAAAAACCACCAAGCAGGCCATGGCCGAGGCTAATGAAAAGGCGACGAGCTAAAAGAGTCCTAACAGAAGATGGGCGAGCTAGAGCCGACATGAGGCACCACGACCACCTAACCGAGCTGAAGACCCTTCGCTCGTCCACAAAATCAATGGTGCTGGTAAGTTGCTCCTTCACTTATTTTCAGAAATTCTTACGACTTTTGGCTCGGTGTTACTGAAAATTGTCTTACCATCCTTTTGCAGGCCATACAGAAAAACCACATCGCTCACAAGCGAGTGTTGCAACTTCAAAAAACCACCAAGCAGGCCATGGCCGAGGCTAATGAAAAGGCGACGAGCTAAAAGAGTCCTAACAGAAGATGGGCGAGCTAGAGGCCGAGGTGGCTCGACTCACCGGGCTAGTTACCTCGGCTGATGCTGATAAACAAAAGGCCCTGGACGTGATGAAAGATAAATACTTGCGCGAGCTGGCCATGATCGATGGCAAGAAGAGCGCGGAGATTGCCGAGCTGAAGAAGAAGGCAGAAGATGCGGAGGACCGGGGTTACAAGGATGGGGAGGCCACTTATATTAAGCAATGCGAGGCGGCCAAAGACCTATTTTTCAAATGTGGATGAAGGGCGGCCGTGGCGCAGCTCGGTCACGGCCCCGAGACTGAGGTCTTCAACCATCCTTCTTATTTCATACCGAGCTCAATGGTGGATTATGCTGCTACTATTCAGCAACAATTTTTGGAGAAGGATGAAGATGAAGCTCCAAAAGACAACACTCAATCCGGTAGCCAGTCTATCTCGCCAACTCCAGAGGTCTCTATCCCACCTTTGCCAGTTGTGTCCGATGCTGTACTTCCCACCGAGCTTAACCACAGTGTGGTTGCCACAACCGAGCTACCTCTGGGTGAAGACCGGGTGGTTTTAGATGCTGACTTAGATGACCTGTTTGCTTGACTATGTACTTTTCTTCTTTTTTGCCTTTTAGAAAGAGAGACTGTAACCGGGCCGAAGTCCCCCCCTTTTGTACTTTGACTTTATATTATCAATGAAATCATCTTTGGTTTTGTTCAACTGTTATTTCGGTTAACTTCCATGTATGTACTTTATTCTGTAATCTGAATGAAGTAGATTCACTGGCCGAGATATTTTATCCCGGTCATAACTTTGTAATCTAGCTATCCATACCTACCAACCTCTTCAGCCTAGATTCTTATCTCGGCTGAAGAACAATAAGTGTTGGTTTTTCCAGCTAACCTCTTCAACCTAGATCCTTATCTCGGTTGAAGAACAATAAGTGTTGGTTTTTCCAGCCAACCTCTTCAACCTAGATTCTTATCTCGGCTGAAGCACAATAAGTGTTGGTTTTTCCAGCCAACTTCTTCAGCCTAGATTCTTATCTCGGTTGAAGAACAATAAGTGTTGGTTTTTTCCAGCCAACCTCTAAGTTGGTTATTCCTGCCTACCTAGAGTAAAGTGTTTGGTTATTCCTGCCAAACGTCCTGCAGTCTGGATCCTTATCCTGGGCTTAGGAGGGGTGTTGGTTTTCCAGCCAACCTCTAAGTTGGTTATTCCTGCCAACCTAGAGTAAAATGTTTGGTTATTCCGACCAAACATCCTGCAGTCTGGATCCTTATCCTGGGCTTAGGAGGGGTGTTGGTTTTTCCAGCCAACCTCTAAGTTGGTTATTCCGGTCAACCTAGAGTAAAATATTTGGTTATTCTGACCAAACGTCCTGCAGCCTGGATCCTTATCCTGGGCTTAGGAGGGGTTTGGTTTTTCCAGCCAACCTCTAAGTTGGTTATTCCGGCCAACCTAGAGTAAAATGTTTGGTTTTTCCGACCAAACGTCCTGCAGCCTGGATCCTTATCCTGGGCTTAGGAGGGGTGTTGGTTTTTCCAGCCAACCTCTTCAGCACTGATCCTAATCTTAGCTGAAGAGAGTGCAAAGTTGGTTATTCTGGCCAACTATGCTTTCAGTGCGCCTAACTCACTAAAATAATCAGTATAGTTGTTTCAAGAAACTACTTGTTTTATTGAGAAAGAAAAAATTACAAATACTTGAAAGAAAAACTAAAAATAAAATAGCTTGAGATTGGCAGTGTTCCATGGCCTGGGAATGGCTTTGCCGTCCTCGTCTTCCAAGTGGTATGCCCCTTTGCCAACTAATCCAACCACTTTGTAAGATCCTTCCCAATTGGGCCCTAACTTGCCATCTCCGGGTACCAGGGTGTTCCCCATTACTTTGCGCAGTACCCAATCTCCAATCTTGAATTGCCTTGGATGTACAGTCTTGTTGTATTTCTTGGATAACTCCTGTTGGTATGAAGCGATGTGAATCAGTGCTTTTTCTCTTCTTTCTTCTGCAAGATCGAGCTCCAATGCTATGGCTTCTCCATTTAAGTCTGGGTCAAAATTTTCGCTTCTGATGGTGGGGAGGCCAATTTCCAGTGGGATTACTGCTTCCATGCCGTAGGCTAAGGAGAATGGTGCTTCTCCGGTTGATCGTCGAGGTGTGGTACGGTAAGCCCATAAAACATGAGGAAGCTCTTCAGCCCACTTTCCTTTTGCTTTTTCTAACCTTTTCTTCAATCCTTCTAAGACAACTTTGTTTGATGCTTCTGCTTGGCCATTTGCTTGGGGGTATGCCGGTGTAGAGTTACAGAATTCTATCATGTACTCCTCACAAAAGCCTCTAAAAATTTTGTCGTCGAACTGGATGCCGTTGTCCGGTATCAGCGCCTTAGGTATACCGAACCGAGTGATGATATTCTGCTAGACGAACTTCTTCACATCTTTCTCCTTTATTGATGCTAGTGCTTCTGCTTCCACCCACTTTGTGAAGTAGTCTGTTGCTGTCAAAAAGAACTTTCTGTTGCCGGGTGCTGTTGGAAGTGGTCCTACTATGTCCAAGCCCCACA